CATCAATAAGCACACCGAGCACGACGAATACACGATGATATACAGAAGAAACAACTTAGCGGAGCTATACTATCAAAGCAAACAGGCGGGATACGAACCATACGTTAAATTCACGGCAGGGGTGGTTTCAGAACTTAATTTCCGATTCAAGGTGAGAGTATCAAAGAAACAGTATAAAACTATATCGTACAAAGTCAAAACGCAGAACCTGATTCAGGACTCAATGGACGGAAGCATAACAGTAGAAGCCGAACAGACTTATAACAATATGTCAAGGGCGATGTTTGATTTCAATCAGGCGCTGTTTAACCCACTACATAAATCCTATTATAATGAAGCCGATATGGAGATATTCAAGCAGTGTCACACGATAGCACCGTGTGGTACAATCCCGAGGGTTCATTATGATAGGCATCAGGAGGCGGATATAAAAACCTACTATCTATTTCGCGAGCACTGTGTAGAAATTGACAGGAGCAAGGCTTACACTTGGGCTTACAACCAGATTGTTGAAGTGCCCGTATTCTGTGAGTTTGATATCTGGAAGCCTTATGATTATAATACACACGATTTTGGCAATTTAGGTTCTTTGACTCTTTACCTTGTGAGGGCAACTGAAGAGGCAAAGATGTTCTTTAACAAGCCCTATGTGTTAATGTATGGTATGTTTTTAAAACACTTTCACGGAAAATGTGAGATTTTGTATTATAAGCGCCCATCCCATACCCACAAAGTTAACTATAAAAGCATCACCGATAAACTGTGGGATACCACTATATCACAGAAACCGATGCAGGACAACAGAATCAAGAAACTGATTGCTAACGTTAATATCGGACTTCTGGAGAAGGGCACGAACAAGGCACAGAAAAGTCTCGTCTTTGATACCTTAAGCGAGGCTTTGTATCATCAAACCATACACGGAGGCAGGATTAACAAAATCAGCGGGTATTACGAGGAGAGAGAGGAGGTAGATGGCGAATACGAGAGTGTAGAGAAAGAAACCGAAGCCAAATACTACACATTGTCTGTAAGCGACACAACTGATTTAACCAACGGCTTTAAATACATTAAGGAATTGCTTTTGCAAATCCACAACTTCAGGATGTATGAAGATTACTACAAGTTGGTAGAGGCAGGGGTTCAGGTCAATTATGTTAAGACCGATGCCTTTCTGATAAAGACAGCCGACTTAAAAAAGGCTAAGAAACTGATTAACTTCTCAGGGGACATCGGTGGCTGGAGAGTTGAGAAAGGCAAACCGTTTGTAGCCCCAACTGACGATTACGAAATGAAACCCAACGAGCTGGTGGAAATACCGACCTACGAGAACGAAAGGGTGACGGTAGAGGACGAGTGGAATACCGTACAGATATGTAAGCAAATAGTGGAGCAGAACCCAGTAATCATAAAAGCTAAATACGCTGGTTCGGGTAAGAGTTACATAGGCGAGTATATGCAGAATTTGGGTTATAACGTGCTGTTTGTGTGTCCAACCAACCAACTGCTACAAAACACACAAACGGACGCAACAACTAATAATAAATTCTTCGCCATACCTATGGAGAAGGGTGATAAAATGGAGGCCTTTGACCACAGTAGTTATAACTGCATAGTGTTTGATGAAGTTGGTATGGGAGGGATGTATGTACTAAATAAGATAAGGGAGTTCGTTAAGAAACACGCCAAGGATAAGATAATTATAGCCACTTCTGATGGGAAACAACTGCCACCAATAAAGGATATAACCAACACACGAGACCACGAGACATATCTAAACGAATGCATTAACCAAATATTCAAATACAAGATTTATCTTAAAATATCCAAGAGACTTAAGAAGAGGAGCGATAAAATAAAACTCAAGCATATATATGATGACATCTGGAAACATAAACTGCCCATTGAGCAGATTGTGGAGAAGTACTTTAAAACAACTGGCGATTTAATGGCATCCGAACACAACATAGCATACACCAATAAGCGGTGCTTGTATGTATCAAACACGATAAGAAAGAACTTAGGAAAGAAAAATAAATATGAAGTGGGCGAGTATATGATATGCAGAAAGTATAAGAAGGACGGGGCGACCACCTTTAATGTCAATTTTAAGTACCAGATTAAGGGTATCGGGGCAGATGAGGTAGTGCTACAGAACATAAAAACCAACGAGGTATATAACACCAGCATATCTACACTGGATGAGCATTTTAGATATGCTTACTGCGCCACCTGTCATTCGTCACAAGGTGCTTCGGTTGATAAATCCATCACGATACACGAGTGGCAGAAGCAACATTTAGTGACGAGAGAGTGGCTATGGACTTCATTAACAAGGGCAACTGACATTAATAAGGTAATGTTCTTCAAGTCGGAAGAAAAGGATGATGAACTTAACGAGGCTACATTAACACGATACTTGCACAACAAGGTTCGGCGCTACAAGATACAAGACCTGAAGGCAGGTAGGACTGTAGAAGATGCCGATTATATTGATGCTAAGTGGCTTTATGATAGGATGAACAATAGATGTAATAAATGCGGTTGCGGGTTTGAGTTTGATATTAAATGCGGGGAGGTGGTAAGTAATCTAACGGCCCAACGTTTGAATAATGAGATGCCACACATTAAAGATAATTGTATAGCCTACTGTCATTATTGTAACTGCAGTTCTAAATGATGACAATAATGTATAATATCTTGTTTATAATAATGAGTTCTAAACAAGATATTATTAGCGAGGTGTATTTTGATAGGAGCGGTTTCGGCTCACGACAGCGGACCTTACAAGAAGCAAGGAGGAAAGATAAAAGTATAACAGCAGATGATATTAATGAGTTTTTTAGGAAGAACGTAGAACAAAAGCGAAGACCAACAGGCAGAAACAGTTTTGTTGCTCCTCACTCTGCATATGAATATCAAATAGATTTATTTTTTATTAATGATATGGAGAATCAAAAATTTAGAGTGGGAATGCTAACGATTGATGTTTTTGATAAGTTTATGCACGTTGTACCTATTAAGGGCAAAACAGAGGAAGATTTAGCCAGTGGTATTATAGAATCCTTAAACAAAATGGGTAAGATTCCAAAGGTCGTTTATACAGATGATGAAGGAGCGCTGAGCAAGGAATCAATACAAACATATTTCAAAGAGCAAAACATACAACACCACATAACAAGAGCACACCCCAATTTCAGCGAGAGGGCGATACGGACGTTTAAAGATTTGTTGTACAGGAGGGTTGAAGCGGATGAGAAAAAAGGGAAGCAAAATATTCAGTGGATAGATTATATATACGAAATACTACTGACTTATAACAATGTTATGAAACATTCTGCTACAGAAATGACACCAAAAGAGGCGAGAAAACCGTCAAATGAGTTGGAAGTTAAGTTGAATTTAGCAAAAAAGGCTAAACAGAATAAAGTATATCCTGACTTGGAGAAGGGAGACGAGGTTAAAATATTTAGGAAAAGAAAACCTAATGAAAAAGAAAGGGTAGGCAATTGGTCAAAGAATGTATATACAGTTGAAAAAATAGAAGAGAAATTAGGTCAAAAATATTATTATGTGGAGGGTATGACCAAAGGTTATTTACGGTTTGAGTTATTAAAGGTTTAGAAACGGTTCAAGGAAAAAAGGTTTTAAAGAAATAACAACTATATATAATAATAATAAAATGGAGCATTTCACTACGAAAGAACAGGATGAAATCATTAATCAGTTTCTGGATGTTATAAAGGTTAATGACTACCTCAAAGAAAGCAGGGAAAAAAGACAGAGATGCAAATGCAAGGATTGTAAAAAACACGAGCGCTATTGTGTGTTAAACGAGATGCCAATACCAGAACACATTATTAATAATATTTATGGTTTCGCTTACAGGTGTGTCAACTGTGAAAGGGCAAAACACATTGAGGAAGTATTAGGTGAACGACTTGAAACAAATGATTTGTGTTTATATAATGTTGATAATTTGCTTTTGAGGTTGGAGCGCCTGTTTCCTACTTATGAAACGGTTCGGATGCACATTAAAAACATAACCGAAAGGAGATACACAAAGTTTGCGAGATTATATAAGGAAAGAATGGACTGTAGCGATAATAAAGAAATCAGGGAGTTTATTGAGTATACATTAAAACTTGATTTCACTAACACTGTAAGGGATTTTAATAATATTATAAGAGAATATTTTAAGAAACCAAATTTTGATATATTAAACTAATAATTGATACAATAATATCTAAAATTATTGTATTAATTGTTTTTTAAAACCACCTAAAACCCATACTTTACTACCCCGATGTTTGGATTTCTATTTTTACTTGTTTTATTGTTCTCGCTTGTTTTGTATTGGGTTTTGCTATTGATTTTGAGCCAAAATCACTCTCTCCGCTCTCTTCTTCTGGGGTTTAGGGCTTAGGGTCGTGTTGCTCAGCGCTCCGGTTCTGAGATGGTTGTTCGCTCGGCTCCTCAGAGCCAATCCTTTTCCCGAAGAAGGAACACATCTAAACCCCTAACCCTACAACCCTCGGGTTGCCCCTTCTGGAACTCGCCGTTGCGGATGTAGTTCGTAGGTTTTCCTGCGAGAGATGGCGCTCAATGTGTCTCTTCAGCATCAGCTGTAGAATTTAAGCAATCAAGAATTCTGCAACTGCAAGTGCCGTGCACACTCGGGTCATTTCTGTCGTGCTTTCTCATCGTCTTCAGTCTTGCGATGATTATACGCAAGAAGATCGTGTAAGGCTCCCAACCATATTTTGGTCATATGGGTCATCAATGGCACAAGCAGATTTATCGCCTGTGCCGCTCTTTCACAAAATTCTATCAATTTTACTGTACATGGATGGAAACACAAAACTGCCTCTTGTTGTATATCATCAGAATCCCCGAAAATCAGATTAGAATTATTCTATGTAGAACACAGAATGACTCTGGTGAGAATACGGAACAGTTCGGGGAGGTAACACGGAATAGTTCTGACAAGAACCCTATTATCACAAATCGTCGTCATCATCCTCAACACGAGGCATAGCAAGTTGATTCTGAAGGCGCTCAGCAACACGGCGGCTGATTTCAGCCTCCAGTTCTTGCGCACGGATTTCTTCAGCAAACACCTCATATCGGTTGTTGATCATCTCGGTCATACGCTGATGCGAAATGCTCTCGCCTCGCGCAAGCTCCTTGACATAGACTGCCTCAAGCAACTGCGTGATCAACCGCTTGGCTGAAGCGACGTGCCTCTCAAGCTCTGCAATGCGTTGAAATTCAGGATGAAGCTGTTGCCAGATATGGTTGATGATTTTTTGGGGGTCGTTCTGGCTAGTATCATACCACTTCTCACGCAAAGCTTGGCATTGGTCACGGTCTAAGTTGCCGATGAGGTTCGCAAGGATGTTGTTCTGACTGTTGTTTGCCGCTTCGTTGTAGAAGTTCTGGAGGGTCGCCGCGAACGGGTTCGAAGGAGCGATGTCATTCATAGCGTTGGCGATGGACTGCTCACGATCTTCCCGAGTGCGTTTGGCACCACCTCTACCACGAGGCTTGATCACGAAGGACGTCTTCGGAAACTCGGTGTAGAGACTTTCCATTAGAAGAGTGGCTTCTTCATCATCTCGGAAGGCTCTGCCGCTTTTTAAGCTGATGCTGAACTCGCTTGGGTCGATGTAGATGCGCTCCTTCTTCGCATAGACTTTCAAAGCCATTTTCTTGAACGAACATAACTTCTGAAATCGGGGGATGGAACATAGGTGGAAGTTTTGTTCCGGAGGACGATCATCGGAATAAGCATTCACGACCTTCACATAAACCCCGACCCCAGCGCCCATCACATAGTCTCTGAATAGACTTGGCAAACCATCATACCGAAAGTGATCATAAGAACCACCAAAGTGACCACTGGGCATTGAAGCAACATAGTCCAGAAACTCTGCCTTCACATCCTTCGGAATCTCTTGACAATTGATGTCTTCAAGGTACTCGGCGATCATAGGCTTTAGTTGGCGGTACTTGTAGTGGTCATCTGCGAACAGACCTTCATCATTATCAAGGATGCGCCATACAAAGTCCTTGAACTTGCTACACTCAAGCGGCTGTGGAATCACACGGCGTATCCTTTCCCATTCATCATCGGTAAGTTTGTGAGGAATCCACGGCTTGAAATACTCCGTGTGCCAATCCTCAACGAGGTCCCTTGTAGCATACAATCTGACACCGTCAAAGTCTGGAATGCTGGTGTTATACTCGATCACTTTGCCATAGAGATCACAACGAATTGCCAACGTGTTGTTGGTTTCGTTCAACTTCTTATTGTCTTGCTTCAACTGACCGAACCCATCATAAATCCGACGAAGCATATCCCGTTGGCTTTCTGTGCCGAAATTGAAGAGCCCAACACGTCGAGCTTCTGAAAGGATGGAGTCAAAAGAGTCACTTGAAGAAGATTGCGAACCTGTCCCAACATCTGATGGCACATCCTCCTCTTCGGATGAATCCTCGATGTGAATGGGTTTGATGGGCGTCACGTTAGTAGAACTCATAGCAATGGCAATCTAACCAAAATGGTCAGAAAGAAGGCGGAGGCGATAGGTGTTTGAAGTCGAAATGGCTGTGCCACACAATCACAAGGTTTAGCATCAACTGCTTCACTGCTGATGCTTTCAACTTATGTAGCATCTCTTTCGACTGCACAAGACGAAGCAGAAAGAGCAACGGCAAGGGCACTCGGTCCTTCTGAAGTTGAGGGCATCGCGAATGTTGTCGCCGTTCTGGATGCTCCAGCTCATCAGCTGAAATCATCTACTGCCCCCAAGCCCCGAATCACAAAAAAACCCATAGTTTCTATCAACCTAGGCACGCCCATTGGAAAGATGGTCTTTGGAGATAGGGTATTTGATTAGGCTTATTTAATATAGGTGTAAAAGCGTAGGGGGGGGTATAGGGTTGAGACCATCTTACCCGACGGGCGTGCCCCTCCCTAACTAACTGAGTAGGGGGGGCACATACAGCAAACAACTTAGGTCTGGATTCTTATGGTCATCCCTGCTCATGATCTTTAAAGCCCCAAGACGAAGCGACGAAGCCCCTATAGTAAGCCTTGCAAAACGCTTATAACACACACTACCTGAACCTACCAAACCCTACTTATACTTTTGTGTAGGTTCTTATTATACACCCTCACATGGAATTTATAGGGACCTTACTTTTTTGTAGGTTTGGGTAGGTTAAGGTAGAGTCCAAAACCAAAGACCTATAACACCCAACTCACAGAGAAACCAACTTTACACATGCTCGGGTTTCGGTTTAGGATTTAGGGTTTAGGGTTTAGGACATCCAGTCCCAATTCATTTCAACCTGTGGATACCGGCCTCTGAAAATCCCAGGGTTCAAAAGATGCTCAATACACACCCGAAGCGTTCTAAATCAATTCACTCAACGGAACAGGCACCCTTTTTGTGAAGACCTCTGAATAAAGTTCGAACCGAAGAGTCGTCACCCTAAACCCTAAACTTTTAGGGTTTAGGGTCTTTTTTTTTTGAACCCTCTTTTCTCCCTGCCTTTAGGGTTTAGGGTTTAGGGATTTAGGGTTTAGGGTACCTTGAACCAGCAACCCTTGTCTGAGAAGCCTTCTATGTGTCGCACGGCGGGGCGTCACGGGTGCACCTCCCACGAATTGGTATCACCTGCGCGCAGTCCGCATGTGGAGGTGGCTGTCACTGAAGAAAGGGGCCTTAAGAATCAGGATATATAAGGATTTTAGGGCTAATTCTACTATAGCCGTGATACGGAACCTTCAGGAAAACTACCACTGATTAAACCCGAAGGGTCTAAAGTACTGTTATGGGGGATACTTCCCCAAATCATAATAGTAATTCCTAATATAGGAACCCTACATTCTACCATAAAGGTGCTTTGGACCCTTTGGGTAAACAGGCCCCTACACTAAACCCTAAAAGCTCCAACTGGTAAATGTCCGCGGTTTTCAGCTTCGGGTTGCTCAAGGCTCAGGTGGGTTCCGGATTTAACCTTACACTTGGAGGGGCAGGGGACTTAGTAAGGGCTCTTAAAGGGCTCCTTAAAGGGATCTATAGGGCTCCTTCAAAGGGATCTATGGGGTTTCGGGTTTAGGGGCTACTTGGAGGGGCAGGGGACTTAGTAAGTAGGGTATAAGTAGGGTTATAATTGGGGTAACTCCATTTAGGGTACTTATAACTCTACTTATAACCTACTTACTAAGTCTCCTGCCCTTCCAAGTAGGGTTTAGGATAGAGCCGGTTGTGACGAAATGACACAACATGTCAGCAACGCTTCAAGTTGCTTGGACAGGCAAAGGACAGATCCTGAAAACTAACAGCGCTGACTGAAGTGCATGATGGCATTCAGGGCTATTGGCTGGCATTAGAGCCGCATGCCTTTTAGGTTGTAATGTCTCTGGGTTCAAATGACTTGAACCGATTAATCTTTGGCGGGAGTAGTAAATAGAAGCGTCTGTCGTCTCTGCAACCGGCATGACATAACCTTCGACACGTACAACATCACACAGGCCCAAACCCTAAAGCCTAACCCCAGTGATGAAAGAAAGAAATCTCCGACTAGGTTCTTAAGTACGCAATTGTGCGAAGGCAAGCATGGACGAAACAAACTTGCACTGTCTTAGTCTCGAGAAGCATGTAACCATAAAACAGCCCGTATAGCACCGTCTGCGAAACCCTCTGCCCTCAACCCTACACCCCTCGTACGCCATTCTATGGGCCATAGCATAAAATCCTTGCCACTATAGTCCCTATGCAAAACCTGCTGTAAATCCGATATACCCTGCAAGCCCTAGACTACTATACAACCCCTAAGACCCCATAAGCTCCAAAGCCTCTACAACATGTCCAAAACTCTATATTGCAATCTTCCAAGCAGGACCCGAGGCTCCCAAATCGGCGGCTTCGCACTGAACCCCTCAAAGCCAAGCCCCTAATGCCCCAAAGAAGGTTTTGAGGTGTGTGTATGGGTTTAGGGTTTAACGTTGTTGAAGCCATTAACCCTTCAAATCAGGAACCAGGAGCCCCACGCGCCAAACATGGAGCCCTAAACAGACAGAATCGCATGATGTAGGGGCATTACCAATTAGAATTGGGTTTGGGGGATATTATGCCATAATTATAAGACAGAACCTCCAAAATGGTATTGGTAATTATTGACGCCCCTATATTGCCTTCGGTCCTGTTCACTGTGAGGGCCGTGCTTCCGCTTCCTGCAGGATCTGGGAGTCTAGGTTTCACACAACAGCCGGTGGCTAAGCCAACTTCCCCAAAACCTAGAGGAATATACCAACAGCACGTACTCTAGATGGATCGTAGGCTTCAGTTATTGTGGCTCATGCGTCATGGCTGACGATACAGGAAAGGGCGTTCGGGACTAGTAGGTCCCAGAAACGATAATGGGGAACCCTTGCTTAAGGCAGGAGCCTCTATCATTACAAGAGTTTAGGTTTTAGGGGGCCTCAATCATTTCAAGAGGGTTTAGAGGTATCAGCTATAATTCTATAATGAAAGGGGCGACCTTGGTGGTGCAGTGTTTCTGTTATCTGTTATCAGACAACACTCAAGTGCATACCTGTGTATACATGTACAATGTATCTATGTGCATGTGTATATGTGTGCACATGCGTATATGGAGACAGGGACAGCTATGGAGAGTTGAAGTATGACTCTATGACCATTAACTGAGGGATACATCCTCATGGCAAAAAGAAGCCTGATTTGTAAAGGGATCTGATAAATTGGCAACACTGTGAATTTACAGTCCCTACGTAGCTCTACTGTATTCTCCTCCAAAGCCGTCTTCTAATTGTTCAGGCTTGTAGGTGAAAGGAGCCAACCTGACACATCGCTGCCGTATCCGAAACCCCGAAGCCCAGTCGCCAGTGCGCATGAACCCAAAGCCCTAAACCCTAAACCTAAACCTTACCTTAGCCTACCAGAACCTACTTTTGTACGGTCCCGATAAATTCCCAAAGTTATTGGGTTTCTAACAAGAACCTGATTACACCAAAGTAGGTTTTGGAAGTTAAGGTGAACCCTCAATGCCTTGAGGTAGTATGCCAGCCCACTCACAAGCTTGTCTTTCGCGTCGCCCCAGGACTTGTTGAACTTGCTACCTGGAAGCAGTGGAAGCTTTCTGGTTTTACAGGGCCACCGTAAGGGTATTAGAAGCTGCAAGAGGCTGCGACATCGGTTGAGGAGTTTAGTGTTTGGGCAGGGTTTGGCTTTGGTTGGGTTTAGGAACCACCAAAACTCCACGATACGACGTGGGATCGGGGTTTGGGAACAGGTCTAACGAACCTGGAGGAGAGTTGTCTTCTCTCGTGGTGTAGAGCTGTCTGCTCGGCGGACGGACCGGGGACGGTGATCCGTAGGGTTCCAATTTCCATCTGGCTAATGCTTCTTTGAATGAAAACCACTGCTATTCCGCCTAAACTATAATGCCTAGACTATAACTGGGTTGTAGTTTTGGGGCTCTATAGGAACCATAAGGGAAATTAACAAGTTTCCCACACTGCCACCTAGATAATGTCGTTTTCTTGCTCATCTGGTATGTAACCATGTCAGGGAGTTTCCGAAAATAGGGGACCCTAATGCAGAACCCTAAATGGTGGGGTCCTGATTATAAGGACCCTAGAATAAGATACCCCTAGCTTTCGGAAACTCCCCTAACCCTAAACCCTTTAAAGAATCCTTATGACACTCAGGGGTGAGTGCCCATCCTCATCCACAAAGTTGACATCCGCCAGTGCGCGCAACAAAATGAGAACCAGCGCGGTGGGACCTCGACGGACTGCATACTGCAGCGGGACGGCCTGTCGGACCCTGGTGTTCGGAGATGCGCGCGCCAGCAATAAAGCAACGAGGGCTCCCGCGATCTGGCGATGGATAGACCAGAAAATAGGGAGACCGTAGTCGCCCCAAACACTGGGCTCATGCACTTCAAGCAGAGAAGGATGAAGCTCCAGTGTGCGCAGAGCCAAATCGAGGCTGCCGCCGGCAAGGGCACGGCGTAGGGCGATGGCCTGTGTCGGCCTGGTAACAGAGTAAGTAATAGTAACCGCATCGCCATGTTCTTGCGCCACCAGGCCGGCCGTCGGCCAGCGGAAGCAGTGCTGCAGAAGAGGAGCATGCTCAGCGCCTTAAGGAACCCTTACAGGATCCCTTTAAACGTACCCATAAGTTTCGAAAACCCCGTTTCGTTCGGGAGGGAACCTGCGGTACTACAGCCTAACCCCGGCAAAGGCTTCTGCCCTGAACGATCAATAACTGAGTTTTTTTTTAAGTGCAGTGGACCCTTTCTGCAAAATGATCCAGCCAAGGTCGGCCTACACTAAAATGAAGCCTGACTCAGAAATCGTAGATCTTCAGGATCACAAGAGGGTTTGGGGTTTTAGGGTTTAGGGATTAGGGTTTAGGATGTCTGCGACTGAAGCAATTGCAACGGTTGCGTTCTCTGAAGTTTCGGTGAATCTGATTGAACTTCCATGGTATCGGTACCCCTC